TTTGCTTTTAACCACTGAGCCCTCCCTCATATCCCTTTAACCTCTTCCTTCTAAGTGTGGTTGGTTGCTCTTCCAAGGAGACTTGGTGTAGCTTTAAATATGTGCTGCCTTGTGTTTTGATCATAGTTTTAGCTTCAGTGTGGGAGCACAGTGCTGGTAGTTGTTTTCAGTTCCTCCAAGTGAATAATGCAAAGAATTCTTGGACATACTGGTCATTTCTGCAGTTGTTGCAACATTGGACGGTAAGCATTTCACTTGTGAAGCACCTTAAGTGTCAGAATTACTTGCTCTGAACCTTTACTCTGAGCATTGTCTTAGGATTTGGTGTGTTATCTTACATGACTGCTGTTAATGCCTACTTTTAACAGGTTATTATGTGGGGGTATCACTTAATTTCGTTATATAGTTCTCTTTAAGGCTTTCTTGGAAAGAGTGCCATGTTTTCTATAACATGTAGTAGATAGTAGAATCCTTACTTTAAATTTTTAGAAAGCTATTACACTCAAGGCTATTCTTACTATCAAAAGTGCTCTTTTCCTTGAAAATATAGTTAATACTTCTAAAAGCCAAAGTTATTATTTTCAACCTTTTTTTTCTTTGAAATAACTTAAAACTATATAGATGAGTGGTAGTGATCTTCTGTTTGCTTGGCCACCCTGAAATGACTTCCCAAATTTTGACTGACCTCTAACTAGAAAATGTCCCTTACAACAAAGCATTAACTAGAGGAGTGGCTCACAAGGACTCTTAGAGCATTGTTTGATTGAGTTACCTTTTTATTTCTAGTCGCCGTTCTTGTTTCTTGTTTTTAATTTTAACATTCTGTGTTCTCAGCACTGGGGAGATAGGCAGGAGAATATAGAATTCCAGGCTGTCCTGGCATTACATGGCAACAGAGCATGTCTCAAAACACCAACACAGGCTGCAAATGTAGCTCAGCGATACAGCACTTACCAGTGTGCCAAGTCTCTGGTGGATTCCCCAGGACTGCTTCTTCCTCAAGAGAAAATTCTAGAGCTGGGGGCTTGCCTACAGAGGTTAGAAGACAGTGTCTAATTAATCCCCTACAGCTGGAGTTCAAAGCTGTTGAGAGCCACTGGGTATGCATCCTCTGAAAGAGCAGGAAGTGCACTAAGCCATCTGCTTTACCACCACCACTTCTGGTAGCCTTTTTTATTATAAGACAAAATAGTCTGTTCCTCTAGTCTTCTCACAGGCTGTGTTCTCACACTCTGTATAGGCTGTGCTCTTACACTCTCTGTGTGTAGAAAGTAAACCTACCCTTTCTACTCCTCAGCACTCTTACTAATCAGCTCTCTACTGTTAGATATTTGAATTGTTTCCAGTATTTCACTAAGCATTTGGTGCATTTATTAGCAAATGCCTCCCCGTTCTGTAACTTGCTGCTTCCAGTGGCTTAGATTGATACCCATCATTACCATGTGGGTGCACATGAGAACTCTTGTTCTCAAAGATGTTGGCCCTTCCTACTGGCTTGCTGCCGGGTAGACTGTGGCCTCTGAAGGGTTCATCTGCCCTGGTGGTAGAAAGCAAATAAAGGCTGGTTAACAAAAATTTTCTTGATGGGACCCTCATTCACAGTTTCAGAAGTGTGTGCCCTCCTGATAAACTGCATACTAACTCCAGAAAAATTTGATTGGCAACTGCTAAAATGCCACAGTTAACATGTATGTTCATTTTGAGCTCACTGAGAGAATGAGTCTCATGTTAACATATAGCTACTTCCTATGCAGAGATCAATCTAGATTCACTTCTTCCTGGTTTTTTGTTTGTTGTTTTGATACTGGGGATTGAACCCAAGGCTTCCACATACAAAACAGGTGTTCCTCCACTGAGTTAACAGTTTTGAAATTGTATATTTAAAAAAGGTTTAGAAAAAGCTCACACTTTGGGTTAAAACAATGATATATAGCCACTTAATGATCTTCAAATTTGTTTGCACAGTATCTATTTTTAAGAAAGATTTTTATATCTGTTGTTCTTTAATGCCCTGTTCCTGGTGTTCACAGCAACTCTGCCAAGGGTGATGCTGTTGTCTGCATTCGTAAACTTGAGATCAACAGGACCCTTTTATGTGTAGTGGCAGATTGTGCTTTGACACATGGTTCTGTTGCCTTTCGTTCTTCCAGTCATGCATGTTCAAAAACTTTAACAGCTACTTATGTGAGCAGTTTGGGGCATTACATGTAAATCCTTCCTGTGAGAATAATGTGTGGGAAACTAAGTGGTAAAGCCTTTCCCACCTACCATAGGCCAGGGTAAAGAAGCTGCAGACTGGGACAGGTTGATGTGTATCGAGAGTCCTGTAGAGAAGATCAGCATGGGTTGATGGCCCTAGACAGGACTAGAGTGTTCATAGGCAAGAAGTAAAATATCCAGGAGAGCATTCTAGATGAAGAGACTGGCATGTTTGAGCAAGGTGTGAACAGGGCATGTGGGAATGTGTACCTGAGAAAAGGTACCTGTTCATTGGAACAGAAAACATCACAGGCCACATTCTGAAGGACTTTAAAAGCAAGCCAGCCCAAAGGAGAGGCCTTGAGAGTATTGAGTAAAGGCAAAGGTGTCGCTAAAGCAGTAGTAAATCTGACGAGTGAGGAAGCATGTTTTTAGAAACACGACTTTTGGATTATTGTATTTGAGGGAGGAGAGGACACTGCCAAATTGGGGGGAGGTCGTTTCAGTTGCTCCTCATTTAGTAGCAGTTTGCTTGTACCAGTTATGTACAGAATATTAGGAGATTCTCTCCGAAGGAGCTTATGGTGTGGGAAGGAACTTGGGGACGTACATAGACGGAAGTCTTTCCAAAAATATTTTCATATTAGATACGGAATATCAACCAAATGTAATTTTTAAAAGTTGGTTGATTCATTACAAACTTAAAAAAGAAGACAAAGTCTGAAGCTGTTGCCCAATGCTAACGTCTAACGTACATGAGGCCCTGAGTTCAAGCCAGCTGTAAAAGGAAAGGTGCTACAACCAAAAGACAGGTGAAGTGAGCGTTTTATTTAATTTTCAAAAAGGTGGCACTTTCTAGGTGCATTTTCTAGTGAATAGCCACATGTAGCTAGTAACTTGCAGCTTCATGAAAAGGCCAGTGTAGGGGTCATGAGAAGGAGATCTATTGCCTGGTGAGTCAAGACAGAAAAGCAGAGTTGTCTGAAGACAGCTGTTTTGGCAGAAGCATGTGCTGTAAGAAGAGGGCTTTGCTGTCTGTTGCTGCTCTTACATTGTCTGCACAGTCCCTGGCAAGAGACTGTGACATTTTAATCAAGGAGTGTCTCTATTGGGAATTTCAGATGATGGGTCTGATAGCAGAGATGTGAGGTAGCTAGAGGTAATGACCTGAAGTGCAGGTAGGTGTTACTGTAGGTGGAAAAAGGGAAACGGTTTCATTTTTCCCTTGTCTGTGCCTTCCGCCTAACTACTAGATGTTGTGTAACCCATTTCCTGTTGAAATTGGCCTAGCTGCTCCAAGTTCCAGGTTATATAAGTTTTGAGTTACATAATTAGTAGGCATCAGGACCTTTAGTTAATTTTTTCTTGTTTCTTTGTATGTGTATAATTGAATACCAGTTTTCTTTTTAAAACATAATTTAGTCTAAGGTAACATGATGGTTTATCTCTAAGAACTCTGTATCACTGTCAAAGAACCTTGAAATGTTTATTTTGGATTTCTTTATTTTTATGTGTATAGGCATGTGTGTATGTATACATGCCTGCATGTATGTATACACACCACATGGATATGCCTATTGCTCACAGAGGCCAAAAGAGGGCATTGTATCCAATGGAAGTAGAGTGGGTAGGTGGTGTGTGTGTGTGTGTGTGTGTGTGTGCGCGCGCGCGCGTCCAGTGCAGCTTGGATTAATAGAAGGTCTCTATTAATAGAAGGATTAATAGAGAGCTGCATATAAAGAACACACAGTTTTAGGTGACTGCTATTAAAGAAGGCCTGGGGGTCTTCACCTAGGGTTTTCTCTGTTCTGTCTTGGAGAACTGTCTTTGCTACTGACATGTCATCCAGCTGAAATACTTGCTGTTTGACTCACAGCTGCTGTAGTGCTGGGAAATGGACAGTGAGAAGGGTCTTCTGTATTGGTAGGGTGTTGAGCTAAGATTGCTTAAAAAAAAAAGATTTATGTGTATGGGTTTTGTGTCTGCATGCATGTCTGTGTACCACATGCATACCTAAAGCCTGTAGAGCCCAGAAGTGGGGTGGAGGTGGTCAGATCTCCTGGAACCAGGGCTACAGGCAGTTAACTGCTGTGTAGGTGTTGGGAATCAAATGCAGGTCATTTGGACTAGCAGGAGGTACTCAAGACCTCTGGGTATCTCTCCAACCTCAAACCAAGGCCACCTCTAAAAGTAAAAAGCTAAAGAACGTGTATATAGCATAAGCTTCAAAAACCAAGTCATTGGGGTCTGTCAAGATGGCTTAGCAGGAAAGGAAGATTGCTGCCAAACTTGATGACCCAAGTTCATTCCTGGAACCTACATGGTACAAGGAGAGAGGACCAGCTCCCACAGTTGCCCTCTCTTCCCCACACATGTCCATGCAGGTACTCTCCCATGTAACACGCACACATAAGTAAATGTTTTAAAAGTATTTTTAAAGCAGTTTCTGTATATTGGGGGGGGGGGGGAGGAGGACAAGATAGTATAATAAACAAGCTCTAGAAGAGACAGGCAAGCTTAAAGGCCTTGACTCTACTGTGTTCTCCTTGCTGTGGTATTCTGGGTTCATCATTTCCTTTCTCTTACCGTTCATGTTTTCTAAGAAGGTGGAAGGGTTATTGGGGATATGCCTGCCATGTAGGATTATTGGTAACAACCAAAATGATTCAAAGGCCTTGGCCCAGTCCTGATGCTGTAGGTCCCCGTACGCAGTCCACATTCTTGATGGCATTTGGAGCTATGCTTCTGAGACTGTTGGAAGCCTGACATTGGCTTTCTCTGTGTTCTTGCTGTTGTTCTAGAGAATGACCATGGACAAAAGTGAGCTGGTACAGAAAGCCAAACTTGCTGAGCAAGCTGAGCGCTATGATGATATGGCTGCAGCAATGAAGGCCGTTACAGAACAGGGACATGAACTCTCCAATGAAGAGAGAAATCTCCTCTCTGTTGCCTACAAGAATGTGGTAGGTGCCCGCCGTTCTTCATGGCGTGTGATCTCCAGCATCGAACAGAAAACAGAGAGGAATGAGAAGAAACAGCAGATGGGCAAAGAGTACCGTGAGAAGATAGAGGCTGAGCTGCAGGACATCTGCAATGACGTACTGGTGAGGATGGTGCTTGTGCTTTAGACATCATCTCTAGGCATAACAAATGTCCAGATGCAAACGCTCAGACAGCTTAGGAGGGAGTGGAGGTGCTCCACTGTACTCAGAAGCTGAGAGCCATCTGTAACGTATTCTAAAGCATGTGATATGGTTTCTGTCACTCTTTCTTGATCAGTTCATCTTTTCTGGGGTACTTTCCTTTTCTTAAAAAGACCTGCAACAAACAGGAACATTTCATCAACATTCCTCCATTTTTCTTTAGAAATTGAGGCAAGATGAAGAGGATATTTAGAAAGATGCAGTCACTAGTAGACTGTTGTAGTAATCTCAGTAGTGATTCATCTCTGGAAAGGAAGAGATGTAAGGCCTTCCAGCCTCTCCTTGGTCATGCCCTCCCACAGTGTAGGAGTCTGATGTTGAAGGTTCGGCACGTCTGTAGAGTGCAGTGTACAGTCCAAAGCCAAATCAAAGGTGAGGTGGGGCTTCTCCTGTGCTTACTACACTTTAGTCGGGTGGTAGATCCTTCTAGCTACGTTGGCCTGGATGGGATGGTGCCTATCGTAGAATACTTCATGATTATATTCTTTCCCTCATACCATTCTAGGTGAAATCAGGTAAAAAGTAACTCTGAGGACTGCTTTATCCTACTGTCTGTCTGTCCAAAGCACTTCCCTTGACACCTTCTGAAAACCAGTGTAAAGCTTGTTGGCTATCAGGCAGTGCTTCTCACCCCTAACCAAACAGGAGTTAAACCCCTCTTTGTCTGCACAACACTTAAAAACAACTACTGCCTCTTGCATACTCTGATTCTGATTAATGAAATCCTTAATAGTTGAGCTTTGCTTTGAGCCTCTCTCTCTTTTTATTAGATTCTTGGTGTAAGATAAGAGTTTCATGGCTAAACATGTTGCCTATTGGTTGTTTGGGGGTTTGTTAATGGTGCACTAATTCCTGAATGTTAGGTACATCTGATATTCAGATGGAGTATGGCATGCATTCCAAAGGCAAGAGAGTTCCATAACTCCTGAAATGTAGACCAGCTTTTAAGAGCATCTGAAAGAATGTGAAGAAGAGCATGGTACTTACTGCCTGTTAACCAGTTTTTCAGGATGCCACATTCTAAAACAACTCTTCGAAAATATTGCTCTGTATACGAAGCTTGGACTCCTTCAGAACTACTTTTGTTGTAAGCATAATTGTTTAAAGGAATTTGTTATTAATAATAGTTCTAGACTGAGTTGCTTACTACGTACCAAGCAACGTGTTAAGCACTAGATGTACGTTACCTCGCTGTCCTTATAACTGCCTTCGACGGTGGCCATGCTGGTTCCCCTCCCCATTGTACAGCCAAGGAATATGAGGCTTGGGGGCCTAAGGCAGTCTCTCCAGGGTCATTTGGAAACATACAGTAAGCATCAGAAGAAGGTTTTCTTCCCAGGTCAGATTGATTTTAAACTTAGTTCTTTGGCTGTTTTGTTCTGTTGCTGCTTTTTTTCTTCCCAGAATGGAAAGATCCCCACACATTCACAATTACAGAAATAATACAAGCTTAAATGGGGGTTTTATTTTCTTTTTAAGAGATGGGCAGAAGAGTTATGAAGTAAAAGTCACTTCTAACGTTATCATGCAGAGAAACACTGTGAAAATAGTCCTCGAGGCTTTCCCTGTGTGTTTGTATGCATGCACCCACACTTAGCCTCTTATTTTACTATTACAGGGAGATTCTTTTGTTGATAGTCTTTTCCATTTAGATCGGGGTCAGCAGAGTAGTTCTGTGCCATCTTTTTTACATCACATTCCACTGTAGTGGCTGCATTAAGAAACCCTTGTGGTCAGAGTGACTTGTAACTGAAGAGTATGAGTGCAGGCATCTGCTCTTAGGACTTGGCTAAATGCAGTTTAGCAGCTTGGATGAAAATTGGTTGGCTTTTTGGTTTTTTTGTTTTGGTTGGTTGCGTGGGGTTTTGGGGGATTTTGGTTGATTGGTTGGTTGGGGTTTTTGTTTGGTTGGGGTTTATTGTTAGTCTTCAAAAAAAATCAGTAGTAGTAGTAGCGCATATCTTAAATCTCAAATGTAATTTTAACATCTCACAAGCAATTCAAAATTCTTAATGTGAATCACTTTTTAGGAACTGTTGGACAAATATCTCATTCCCAATGCTACACAACCGGAAAGCAAGGTGTTCTACTTGAAAATGAAAGGAGACTATTTTAGGTATCTTTCTGAGGTTGCATCTGGAGATAATAAACAAAGTAAGTAACATTTAAAATACCTGTACATAGTCAGTGGGAGGGTTAATGCTCCATAATGAATCCATTTATACTTTGTTTATCACAATAATGACAACTTTAGAGGCCACAGCATTGTTATGCATGGGGTCATGGGCTTAACAAACCTCTTTAATCAATAAACAAGAATGGTATTAGAAGTTTGGAATGGGGGCTGGAGAGATGGCTCAGTGGTTAAGAGCACTGTCTACTCTTCCAAAGGACTGGGGTTCAATTTCCAGTACCTACATGGCAGCTCACAACTGTCTGTAACTTCAGTTCCAAGGGATCTGACACCTTCACACTGATACACATAAAATAAATTATTTTTTTAAAAAGTGTATGTAATATATTTAGCAAATGCTTGTCTGGGAATTGATAGTTCTCTTTTTACAGGTAAAATTGCAAAATACAGTGGTTCACTTTGGCCATGATTTTGCTTTACTCAGTTTTAGCTACTGTAAATGTGGTCTGAAATCTAAATGGAAAATTCCAAACATAAGTGATTATAAATTTTGCTCCAAGTAACCCTGTATGTGCTAGCCACCTGTTTGCTCGCCGAGTTGCCATATTGGTTACTTGGTGTCTGTTCTAGTATGGCACTCCTTGTGCAAAAATAACGTAGTGTTTTCTAAAGTACAAACTTAACATTACAGTATAGTGTAAAACTGTTCTGTTAATTTTCTGTGTAAGTTATCTGTCTAGTTGCAGGCACAGATGAGGGAGGCCACTGTGTGAAGCCACCAATAGGGATGCATTTCCTTTAACATGTAGCTTACTGTGATGTGATTGTAGCTGCTTTATTCAGTGTTCACTGAGTGCCAAAAAATCGGGGTTGCATTATCCTCTTAGCACTTTGAATTTAGGTGGGAGTCTCTCATTTTTCCAATAAAAGAAACCAGAATTCATATATGGACGTTTTTTCTTGCTCCAGGCCACATACCAAGTGAGTTAAGTTGAAAATTCAAATTTGTTTATGCTGATCTTAAACCCTGTTATTTTTTCACTAGATTATCCACATTCATTTTTATGAAAGGCTGTGTCTAAATTTCTTGGCTGCTTTAACAGACTTCAGTATAATTGTCTGTTTTCTTCCAAAGCATTTAGTATAGTACTTAACATAGACATTTAGCAAATGTTTACATTGAACAGTGAAGACACTGACCTTTGTTTTGATGGCTCATTTGCTTTATCCTCCTTTACTAAAGTGCTTGATAATGGATCCCACATGTCATGCAGCCTGTGCAAGAAGCTAACATTTTCATCTTCCTTCCAGCCACTGTGTCAAACTCCCAACAGGCTTACCAAGAAGCATTTGAAATTAGCAAGAAAGAAATGCAGCCTACACACCCGATTCGACTTGGCCTGGCACTGAATTTCTCAGTCTTTTACTATGAGATTCTGAATTCTCCTGAAAAGGCTTGCAGCCTGGCCAAAACGGTGAGGAAAGGCTCTTCTGCTAGTAGTTCCAAGAACTTCCTTCTGAGCAGTCCTCGCTGTCTCGTGCTTTTAAATGTTTTCTTGGGGGTAGGATTTTAGGAAATAAATAGAGATTTGTTACTTGGTATTTTCATCTGAGTATATGCTGTCTTTTGTTTTGCTTTGTTTGATTATTGTTGGGGTCATAGGTAGAATCTTCCAGGTAAAAGTGTAGTAGTTCTCATCAAGCTTTGGGCATTGGACATTGTCATCTTTGTGCCAAGATATGGCTCAATGAAAGAAATGAGCCCACTTTTTTTTTGTTTATTTTGGGTTTTTAGACAGGGTTTCTCTCTTAAGTCTTAGAATTCATTTTGGAGATCAGGCAGGCTGGCCTCGAACTCAGAGAACTCCACCTGCCTCTGCCTCCCAAATACTGGGATTAAAGGCTTGTGCCACCATCACCCAGCAGGAGCCCACATTTTGTTTATGCTCTATTACTTCCTGTGTTCTTTGAAGAGCTTTCTTTCCTATGCATCCTGTTGTTTGAAACTTTAATTTGGAAAAGGTGCCTGAAGTGAATTTTACAACTTGAACTTAAGGTTAATGGGGTGAGCTTTGCTGTTCTCCCTTTGATCTTTGTGTCCAAACCCTTTTAGTTTAAACAAAAATAGAAACCAGTTTGATAACTAAAAAGTCAGTGAATTTATAGACTAAATGTGCTGAGGTTCCCAGGAACACTGTTTCTTAGGGGTTTATCCTTGCTGGTTGGTACTTTATACATTTACATTTGACACAGCTGGCAGACAGTGAGAGCAAAGCAGGTCCCATCCTCTTAACAACAGGGAAGGTAGCACTGACACAGAGAACATCCAGATCTGTGCTAAAAGTTCTTTGTTTCAGGCATTTGATGAAGCAATTGCTGAATTGGATACTCTGAATGAAGAGTCTTACAAAGACAGCACCCTGATCATGCAGCTGCTCAGGGACAATCTCACTGTAAGTACCTTTGCAGAGTGTGTAACGCCCGAGGTTTAAGGGGGTTTGTTTGTTCTTGCGTATGGTTTTACACTGTTAAGTTACCTATATCTTACTGCTGAACCTTACGTCTCTGCAGTCTCCATTGTCCAAGGTAAAAGGGCATTCTGAAGAGGTGAGAGAGGGGCCTGGCAATATGGCTCAGTGGTACTCAGCAGCTTGTTCTTCCAGAGGACCTAGGTTCCCAGCACTCACATGGTAGCTCACAACCATCTGTAACTAGGGGATGTGGTGCCCTCTTATGACTTCCTAGGACAGTAGGCACACAGACATACAATGAAGGCACAACACCCGTACATGTAAAATAAATGGAAAAAATTTAAGTAGTTGAATGAGGTAAAATGTACTGGGCCACCTCTTGAAGAAAATTTTTAGTGATCTGAATTTTTTATTATAGCTTTTTGTTTCTTTTTCTCTTGCAGCTGTGGACGTCAGAAAACCAGGGGGATGAAGGAGATGCTGGAGAGGGAGAGAACTAATGTCTATCGTGCTTTGTGAACTGTTTGGTGTCACTCTGTATCCTCCACATTATATCCCTTTGTGCGATAAACAAAAACAAAAAAATCGAATGTTGACTTTCGATTTTTCACAGCCTAAGCCTAGCAAAAATGGTCCCTGGGATAAACAGCTGGTATTTGTATCTAAAATTCAGACTGGTCCCTTAAATGCCACAGCATTTTGAAGTCTTGATTTTGATCAACATTGACAAGGATTACTGTGTGTTTAAATTTTACAAACTGAACACTGTGATTATGGGGTTTTGTAACTTAGCAGAACTCTTACTGGTAGGAAAAATAGACCTGAATTATGTGTAAGTTTTCAGAAAGTTTGATCTGATATCAAAATAGTCCCTGAAGATACAGTCCTGTTGTAAAGTTGTACAGAAAGTTCTAGAGGTTCCATTGTGATGCTGGGACTCAGGGGATGCCTACCATCGACATCCCAAGTTTGGCAGCTCACAGTGACTCTGCCTGTGGTTGAGAGCTTATTGACACCTGCTCATTTTGGGCTGTTGCCACTCAAAAGTTCATGACCACAAATATCTTCTGAGGAAACTAAAAACCTGAAAGTAAAATTCTTTGGCTCATAATTGAGCTGTGACACCACAAAAAAAAGGTCCCGTGTTCATGCGTGACTAAACCCCTTTACTATAGCAGTGTGTTTCTGATCAGCAACTTGTGAAAACAGGTTGCTACTTCCTAGCTAAAGGAGATGAAAAAGACAGCAGTGTATCTTAATGAATGGCGGTACCAGTTTTCTGGGTAATTCTCGAAGAATAATGTTTTTGAGGGTAGCCTCTAGCCTGAGGAGCAGTCAGTCTTGAGGTTTTCCTAGCTTGGAGGGTGGAAACTTTGAAACTTAACATTCTTTCCGCCCAGTTTTTCTGACTGTTGACTTTGGTTTTCTCCTCTGTAAATTTACAGCTTTCTGCTTTCTTGGGTGGTTTTCTTTTGGGAGCCTTTATTTGTTAATAATATGGACAGGGGCGAGGCATTAAACACATGGTTAGCAAGCCTTGCTTAAAGGTGTTGAGAAAAAAAGGCCTTCCAGCACCATTACCCTGTCTTCCTCCAGTTCTCAGCACAGTTGTTCTTTATACTATGATTGGAATCTTTAAAAAAAAAAAAGTGTTTTGAAGTATCCATGATTTTTCCCTACTGCAACCAGGCCCTCATAATGCTTGTTAGTACCTGTCACCAGATCCTCTTGTGCTCATCCAGCTTAGTTCTCAGACATGCCTGAACACACCCTATAACACAGGGAAGTTGCATGGACACTACAATAGAGAGAACCAAGAATTGCCAGACCTGTCAGTCTCACAGTATCACCCTCTGCCTTCACATTCCATGTAGCTGTAGAGTCCATCTGTTTGTCCATCTGCAAAAATAAAAGAATTCATGCACTGATTTAAAACCAAAAAAAAAAAAAAAAATCACAAAAAAAAAATCTTTCTAGCTGAACAAAAAATGTGCAGTTAATACTTGGCGCTTGACAACGCAGTAGTGAGTGTGGAATCAAGCCTGTCTGTATATCTGATAGCTCTTTGCTTTGTTTTTTCCTTACCAGTATTCTGCCTAATGTTTGCTTCTGTGGTGGTTATATTTGCCTAGCAAGCACACCTGTGGTTGTGAAAATAGTATAGCAAAAAGAAAAAGAAAATCCCCAGTTACCAATGTACTAGATTCGTGTATGTCTTTTAAACATTCTAGTTTCACCTTACACGGAGTAATCAGGAAAATGTAAAAACTCAAAAGTGAAATAAAACATTTTGTCAGTTAGTTGCCTGTGGATTGATGTGTCACCACCATTCCTGTCACTCTTGGGACTGTTCTAATCACATCTATTTTGGGCTTTTTCTTTTAAAAGTAAATAATTTTACCTCACCTTTAGAACCATCAGTAAAGATGTACTACATGGCTGTCTCTGTTAGGTTGGATGTGATCATTGCAGCCTTGGACCAGAGCAGCTGTGATTACCTTGCAAGCCCTCAGCAGAATGGGCCCATTTTTTTATTTTGGAGGGGTCAGGGTGTATTTCAGAAGATGACATAAGCACTTTGTATGCGACAGGGGCACAGTTGGCAACACTGCTGGTGGCATAGCTGCTTTTAAGTGGTGCAGGGGACCTGACAGTGAGGGAGCTGCCTTTGAACCACCCATGCTCCTCCTCTTAGTACCCCAAATAAAACTAACTGCTTTGCCAAACTGGACTTGGATGGAATCCTTTATTTAGTCTCTTAATCTTCCCTATCTGGAGTGAATAGTTGTGTCTGTATATCTCCCCAAGAAAAAATCCCTATGACGCTCCATGCAGCAAAACCAAAGGTGAATCTGGGAGGAGCAGTTAATGTCCCTTGAGTCAGGGAATCGTGAAGAATCTCTTTAATAGGGTCTTCCAGTTAAGTGATACCCACGCTGCTGATAAATAAGGAAGTATGTTACGGTCCCTGAAGGCATTTGTGGGTCAGGGTTGTAAGCAGGCAGTGGCAGCACTTGCCTTGCCCATGCTGCAGGTAATAAATGCAGCAAAGGCTGCAGTGGCAGCCAGAATTTCCCTTGATAAAGGAGGAATTACAGTGGGAAGAAGAGATGTTACCTACTATCTGCTTCTGTGTGTTAAGTGGGAAAGGGGAAGGATTGTTTGTTACACACAACTGATGTAATCTGTACAAATTGAGTTCTTCCTAGGATCCAAAGATAATGGAGCCCATGGGAAGAGTTGGTAGTGTGGAGGAAAGGTCCATGACTAACCATGCAGGAGGCCTTTAGTGATGGCCTTGACAGGAAAATAATGATTGGAATAGTCTGTCTCTGAACAACTTGAGATGGCTCCGTGGTTAAAAACAGAGTATGTACCAGCTGCCAAGCCTGAGGACCCGAGTTTGATCCCCAGGATCCACATGGTGGAAGGAGAAAAGGGAAGATGTCCTCTGAGCACACAGGCACCCTGGCATGTGTGTACCCATGCACATACCCTCTCCTCTGCAAAAAGATTGAAAGAAAGATCTTAATGGCTTGTCTTATGAGGCTGTGGGACATGGGGGAGTTGGGGTGGAAATCTGTGTGTAGGTGTGATGAAAATGGAGATTACTCATCCCTCCTTCCTTGAAATAAAGGTGGAGACAACAGGAAATCATTTCCTTTTGGACTGTTTACTCATACAAACTATTAGGGACACGGTTATTTCTCAAGTTTATTAGAAACTGGAAGGCAATGAAAAGGTCAGGCATTGGGGCTGGAGAGATAGATGGCTCGTGTATGAGGGGGTACTGTCTGCTCATCCAGAGGACCCAGGTTCAATTCCCAGGTCAGAGCTACCTGCAACTCAAGGTCCAGGGGGCCCGATATCCTCTTCTGGCCTCCACAGGGACCACACATGCACATAATCCACAGACATACATACAGGCAAAACATAATAACAGCAACAAAAAACCAACATTGCTTTAGGGGCTGGAGAGATGGCTCAGCGATGGCTGTTCTTCCAGAGGACCCAGGTTCAATTCCTAGCACCCACATGGTAGCTCACAACTGTGACTCCAGTTCTAGAGGATCTAACGCCCTCACACCAGTACACATTACTGAGAAAAAAGTGAATAAATTGTAATAAAATGAAACGGAAAAATTACTGAGAACTGGGCCAGAAGGAAATAATTGGTTGGTGTACAGTTCACCACCTGACTAAGACTGTTGAAAGCCAATTTAGCAGTGACCTCAGGACTGGTGTGGGCCTTTAGTGGGTTTGCTGGTACTAGAAAGGGGACATGACCTTCCCCAGACAGGAGAGACTGGCAGGTCTGAATGAGAAAGCATGTACATAGGGTTAGAGAGTGCTAAGGCACCTGGGAGGGACTGGGAAGAGAGAAACCAAAGGATGGCTTTGATGGCTGCTTTAAGGCAAATGAAGTATTTGTATTGAGCTGGACTGACAGGAGACTAAATTTGGTGCGTTTGAGCTATAAAAGTGGCTCTCAGATATTTACATTACAGTGTATGACAGCAAAATTAGCAGTTACGAAGTAGCAACGGAATAATTTCATGGTTGGGGGTCACCATAACATGAACCGTTTGAGGGGTCACAGGCAACATTAAAGTGCGGAACGTGCTCAGGGACTCAACCCCATGAACTGCAGATTTATCTGCCCTCTGTTAATATGCAGAACACAGGCTGTGGTGGGTACTGGAACTAAGTGTACCTTCTCGGCAACCCTCAAAGATGCTGAGGACAGTGAGGAGCCATGGGTGGATTGAAAGCAGGAACGGTGCAGGTGCTAGGTTTGCCCAATGGCTGGCTCCTTATCTGTCCAGGGGTGTTACACCTGCATACCACAGCGGGAAGTTTCTACCGGGTAGGAGTGTAAAGTAGGCGTGCCTGGTTGGGTGAGGTGAGAGCTGTAAAGTTGTGTAGGTGTCACCCGCCCATCCCCCCCCCCCACCTCTGCTATGGCAATAAATGACAATATAGGCTGCCCAGGGGTGTATGACGAAATTACAGATACCGTGAAGAAATGTCAAGGATTGGTTATTCACCTGGCCCCAACCCGATGTGGCCAGTAAAGAAGCCAGATGGATAGGCATGATGGCACACACCTTTAATTCTAGCCCTTGGGAGGGAAAGGAAGGCAGATCTCTGTAAATTCAGAACTATCCTGGTCTACAGAGTGAGCTCCAGGACAGCCAGGACTACATAGAGGAGAGAGGGAGGGAGAGGGCAAGAATAATCAGAAGCTGCGTTGGGCCTTCAGGGTGACTCAACTGGTGGGGGCTCTTGCTGCCAGGCCTGAAAACCTGAGTGAGTTACAAGACCCACGTGCTCTTTGACCCCTAAGTGCATGCATATACATGGCATGGTTGTGCAGACACACAGAATGAGCAAATTAACAATAAATAAATGGTTGTTACAACAAAAAGAGCCAAACACCTCGCGGAGAATGGCTGAATTATAGAGCTAAATAAGAGTAAAGCCACCCTCATCCATGCTGCACCCAGCATTGGTCTTCTGAAACAATCAGTACAAATGGTGAGATCTCCCCGTGCTAATACTAGCATCACTATTCCTTTAGCTACTGGATCCCCAGAGCAACTCTTACTGAGAAGGAACAATCTTTGGAGTGCTTCCTCAAGGTTTCCGCCATAGCCCCACTGTGAATGTTAGCCAATAAACAAGGCAGGTACATAATCAGGTACATAATCCTGCATTCATGTAACTTCAAAATGTTTGTGTTCCGTGAAAACTTCATAGTGCAGGCTGCGCCTGCTCAGAGGCATTCCAGTCCATCACTTCAATCTTAAAAGCGTGTTTCAGCATCTTAAATTGAGTGTTCTAAGGAGTATCCTTCACCTGCGTGTGCTTAGGAAGAAACAGCATGGTATGTATAGGTACAGTCTTGAGTAAGACACCCGTGCTTCCTTCATCTGAGGAAAGCCTTGCTTTACAAACAGCACTCCCTGCTACAGGCAGTGGGTTTTTTGTTTTGTTTTCCTTTCCTTTCCTTTCCTTTCCTTTCCTTTCCTTTCCTTTCCTTTCCTTTCCTTTCCTTTCCTTTCCTTTCCTTTCCTTTCCTTTCCTTTTTTTCTTTCCTTTCCTTTCCTTTCCTTTCCTTTTTCCTTTCCTTTCCTTTCCTTTCCTTTCCTTTCCTTTTTCCTTTCCTTTCCTTTTTCCTTTCCTTTCCTTTTTCCTTTCCTTTCCTTT